TAATATCGATATCTTTCTACTGTTATTTTTTTAGGAAAGGCACCATAAAACAAATGAATTTCTTCGGATTTTTGCATCTTCATTGCTGCAAAAATAAATTACCAAACTGTTGCGAAATAAATCTTTTCCATGACAGATTAAGGTCTGATTACGTATCAAGGAATGTGCGTCTCAGTAAGAACCCAGATTTCTTAGACCATTGCGAAATTAATTCACTGTGAGTCGCCAAAATGTCAACGTGATTTACAATTATATAATCCTTACATTTTTCATTGAAATAAAATTATATTGAGGTGTGAAAATAACAGTTTTATTGTCCACTTTGAAGGATTATTATGCTATTTTCCGTGAAATAAATGAAACGTTTCAAGCTGTCAGACTTAATAGGTTTTATACATGAGAACGGGATTACCTAGATTGTGTGTGGGAACAGTAACGAGCATTACTTTGTCACTAAGAGTAACGTTTGTGCTGATTTGATCTTGCCAAGGCTAACCGAATTTAGTAAGGTAAACTAAGATTACTAGCATTTAGGAGACGAGAATGATAATATGATGATGATGATAACATATATCCAGGGCCAATAACTAAGACTTACAAGGAAGGAGAGGACAGAATTCATGCGAACATATTTGCCTTATACAGGGCGAGCTTTTGAAATAAATATCTAAAAAGCCACTTTATTGATAAATATACGGTCCTCACTTAGAAGATATGCCGCACACTGCAGGATAATGTAGCAACACAAACTTAAATTTTAAATTTCGGATACCCTGTTTATTCTTGTATATTCTTAAAGGCCTCTTAATAGGAAGACCTTTAGAATTTGTAATATTGAAAATAAGTTTTCATTTGCTGTGAACAAGATGGTTGAAGAATAAGTTTAAAAAACGCGGAAGAATATAGTGTTAAACACATAATTCATAATTTTTTTAATATCACCATTTAACAGTTCTAAAGCAGTGTCCAAATGTTTATGTCTACTATATATATATATATATATAGTATTCATAGTTAATTGCCTTAAGGAGAAGATATCCTTTAATTTCTTTGGGTAGAAGGCAACGTATTGCAAAAGGACACTCTTATAACTTAAACTCTCGAGCTTTCGAAGATCTATGTCTTCATCGTCTGGAGCTGGAAACAATTATTGACAATAGCACCAAATAACAATTAGGAGAAAAATATTTATTTACTAAATCGGCGAAGTGTGTTGCCTAATAGTATGACGTTTTATAATATATAGTGCAAGAGGTTGCGCTATTGTTGACCGATGAAGTACGAAGAAATTTTCAAAACCCGTTAGAAGTTGCTTTGGAAGGAGTGTGATTTGGATGTTATCCTACCAAACAACTAAAAAATCCATAGGGAATATTCACACTTGAAGACAAAAACTTTGAGCTTGCCCTTCACAGGACGACATAATGGGTGACCTTCCAGTAATTTTCAATGTCACACTCCATACGCCGCTGTAGAATGTCAGTCGGCCAGCACGTGTTGGATAATGTGGGGGTATCAGTGGAAAAAAAGATGAAATCTTGGGGGAATTTTCAATAGTTGATAGTTTTGAAATCTCCAAACTTGTTCCAAAATCAACCAACGCTTATTTTTAAAAAACCTTTCAAAATGATTTACCATTTAATAATAAAATAATTCCGTCCTAATCGAACCTCATCAGTCCAGTTTTTTATTCGTCGACTATGTGTTCCTTTCACTGTTGTTTTTAAACGATTATTTTTCTCCTAATTGCTATTTGTTGCTATTGTTGGTAACTGTTTCCAGCTCCAGACGATGAAGACATAGATCTTCGAAAGCTTGAGAGTTTAAGTTATAAGAATGTACTTTTGCAATAATTTGCCTTCTACCCAAAGAAATTAAAGGATGTATATATACTTCGAAGTTGAGTCATTTATTTTAACAGTGAGTAGATCTGGTCAAAAGAAATGTTTTTTCCTTCACCATTTTTCTGGTAAAATTAAAGTAACAAAGTTATAGCCCTTTGGAAGTTTGAGTACCGCCCTGTCTCAATAATAGTATTATGTGCTCGTGTTTGGCGACAACGGATTTAATCCGCCTTATCGGTTCATCGCATCGGAAACAAAAAAGCGAAAGAATTTGGAACGATGTTTTTACAATTATTTCATTCAGTTGTATACAGTCAGTGTCAGTCGGTAGTGAATAGTAGTGTATGTTGCGTGGCTCAAACGAAATAAAAAATGGCACATGTTTATGCGGATCGGTTTCCCAATCGAGTGCAACCAACCCCTCGTGCCTTTGTTAATGTAGTACAACGGGCTCGTGAATCAGGTGACTTAAGACCTCACAGGGACCTCACGATCAAATACAGGTCCGCACTGAAATACTTGTCAGGAGGATACTTTATGAAACAAGGTAAACATTTTTTTTAATTTTTTTTTTATTTTCACACACATATTTTGGTTTATCTTCCTTCTACAATCATTATCTGAAAATTACTGACTCAACTTCAAAATATATATTAAAAATATACAATCTGACTATAGAAACCAACACATTCCCTGATATTTGGAAACTTTCTAGAGCGACGCCTATTTCAAATAAAGAAAAAATAATAAAAATAATAAAAATAATAAAAATAATAAAAAAGTATATTTTCGATAGACTTGGTCAGCTTATACCAGGCGAGATGCAGTAGAACGGTATTGAGAGTTGTTGTGACTACTTAATTATTCCAAGTAACTAAAACTTAACTGTGATACTGGAAGGAAGCTCATGTTTCTGTTACTGCATTTTATTACGTGGAAGCGATTCAGGTGAACAATAAAGATGACGACAATTTTACCATAAAATGTCAATGATATTGTTATTACAGGTGCTTAATGACGTTTATAACGGAATCTTGGTGAGGCAAATAGCTTAAGTACGAGTATACCGTTTTGCGGAACCGATTCAGATTAAATTGCGTGGACAAAAGGTATGCGGTGTATTTGCTTTGTTTTATTTTGCGAACGATTTAGTCCAGTCTTCGGTGGTCTTGCAGTATGAAAGTCCTAAAACAGGTTGAGATTCAGCATGGTGGTTGTTTCTAGCGCTGAGCATGAAATCTCAGACTAATCCAAAGGTATCATTGAAAGAAAGTGAAGCTGTCGTCCTTTGTTTATACGGAAATAACTGTTCGCGGTGAAAAAGTTAGCGTTTCGCAAGAATTTCGTAAATTTCTCCATTTCTTCGTCGGTATTCAATATGTAGGTGTATCGAAAGTTTCGGTGTTCCGCGTAAAAGACGGATATTAGACAAATCAAAATAAATGGAAACGCAATTTCAATCAACAGTAATTTTGTAAAACCAGTTATTCCAAAATATTGTTTATAATTGCATATCTCTCGAAGACTGCATACATACAAAAAGAGAGATCTTGCTTCAAGAACAACTATCTTCGATTGAGGACCGTGACTTCGGTACGTTTTTAGATCTTTGGATTGAGATTAATACCTCAATTGTAAGCGCTATGTTTCTTCAAAACAACGAAGATAAATATAATAAAATTATACAGGGTGTTCCTTAATGATATGCGAATATTTAAGTGTTTGAATCTACATGAAAAATTAATGTTAGTTTGTTTTATAAACTATGGTCCAAAAATGTTTTCTTACAAAAACTCGGGGTGTTGAAGTTTTAGAAAAAAAATGGAAATTAATTAATATTTTCGGATCCGCTTCAGATATTTCACTGCTATTTAGTATGTAGTGAAAGTTAATAAAGTTGCATATTTTTCAATGCAAAAATAATTTTTGTCCTTAACAGTGACGTGCGTACGGGTATTGACTTCGATATTTTTTAAGAAAAAAATGGTACGCCAATGGTTTTTTGCCAAATAAAAATTATTATTGAATTCCCCGTTGAATTTAAAACAAATGATCTCTCTCGAATTGTTTTCCTTCGATTCACCATTTTTGAGTAAAAAATAAAAACCGTTCTATTGTGTTATTGTTGTGTTTGTGTTAACAGTTGTTGTTGTTTATTACACCCAATGTGTTAAATTTTTCCAATTAAATTTATAATAATTTTGCAAGTTTAAATTGAACGGGGAATTCAGAAATAATTTTTATTTGGTAAAAAACCATTGGCGTACTATATTTTTCTTAAAGTACCCGTACGCACGCCACTGTTAAAGATAAAAACTATTTTTGCATTGAAAAATATGCAACATTATTAACTTTCACTACGTACTAAATATGAGTGAAAGATCTGAAGCGGTTATAAAAATATTAATTAATTTCCATTTTTGTCCTAAAACTTCAACACCCCGAGAAACATTTTTGAACCATAGTTTATAAAGCAAACTAACATTAATTTTTCATGCAGATTCACACCCATAAATATTCGCATATCATTAAGGAACACCCTGTATATGTACATACACATACATTTATACGAGTACCTTAAATTGACACTGAGTAAGTAATATTCTCAATTCTTCATTACTATATTCTGATTCTGAGTTGAGTTTTAGGTAAAATCCAACAGTTTGTAATGATTTTTTGGTTTTTTAATGAATTGTAGCTCCTGAAATTTATGCTAATAACCTAGCGAAACGAAAAATTCAGATAAAAACATCGGTAGTTGTTGGCAATGAACTTAATAATTTCGAAGTGGAAGAGAAGATTATATCTCGGTAGTGGACAGAATTGTCGACTTGAAATTTTCTACATGTACTAATGATATAAGAGCCCCTTCCCAGTTCAGTTGGCCCACTTCAAGATTTGCACCAAAATGCGGCTTTATAAACTAAACATGACGAAACTATTTACTTCTAAAACAATTTATTTTCTCAAAAACATTTTAGATACACTCTAGTCGTAAAAAATACATATTTGAAGTCGCTTAGACCTATAACTAATAGAACATCTGAACAAATAAACAATGTGCAAATGAATGCGCGAAGTTAACAAAGCAACAATTGAAAGATTACCATTGGGTAACATCACCTTTATTTTTTATTACGGCTGAAATTCTTTGAGGCATAATTTGGTGTAAAACAATCCCATAGTTCTTGAAGCTTTTGTCTCAGTTCGGTGATTGTACGAGCAGGATGTTGTCGTAGAACCTTTTTCATCTCGTGCCACAAAGTTTCAATAGGTGACAGATCTGGACTCCTAGAAACCCATTTCAAAAGTGGTACATTATTTTCTTCCATCCATTTTATAGGTTTTTTGAGGTATGGCACGCTGCACCATCTTGCTGAAATACAAAATCTTGGCCGGATGTCAAACATTCTTCCATCACTGGTAAAAGCGATTCTTCTAAAATTGCCAAATATTTGTTTGTATCCACATTTCCATCAATAAAATGAAGTTTTCCTACCCCTTTTGATGACATACTGCCCCAGACCATAATGGATGCTGAGAATTTCACTTTTCTCTTCAGACAGTCAACATGGAATGCTTCATTTTTTTTGCGAATAACTCTACTGCGACTGTCACCAACACAAACTTCGAATCGGGCCTCATCACTTCATTGTATTGCACACCATTGTTGAGGTGTCCATTGTCTATGTTCGTTAGCCCATCTAAGCCGATTTTTCTTTTGCAGTGGAGTTAATAGTGGCTTTTCTTTGGCCTATAAACAGGTTGTGCAACTTTAGGGTTTTTACTTCACCTTTTTTTATAAGAAAACTTACCTTGCAGGTGTTAAATCCCAGTTTGTGGGCCTCTCTTTAAGTTGTGGACCTCGAAATTCTCCTTCCAACAACGTCACTACACAAAGCACTTAATTGTGAATAATTGACACGCCTGTTTTTCACGATTATTCTTCTTAATGGTCTTCGGTCGGCATTTGCGATATTACTTTTTTCACATATCGTGGCTTAATATTAACTGAACCAGTTACGTTATATCTTCTAACAATATTTCTCACACTGTACCGCGATAAGTCTAACAAAGTTGCAATTTCTGAGTTTGATTTCCCAGAATTAAAGAATTTAATTATCAGTAACAGAATTTTCTCACTAATAACCTTTCCTCTACCCATTTTGAAAACCTTAACTACCCAAAACTATTTTAAACGTATTCTGACAGCTGTGATTAATAAAAACAATTGTCATGGCTTTTATTTTTCACAGCCACCTATGCGTTATAGACTTATTTTGCATTGAAATAAAAATAGGTTGATATGCTGTAATTGCAACATGTGTTATTTTTATGCTGCAAATTTGATTAGGGAGTGATACAGTTGATGTTTTCTACTATATATTATCAAAATATTCATTGTTAATATTTTAAACCTATAACACCCTGCTACATTTTTATTATTTGTGTTTGATAAGAAAAAAACTAAGATTTCGATAGTTGGGCCAACTGAAGTGGGAAGGGGCTCGTAGAAGACGAAATAAACATGCTATTGCCACCACCGACCCCATTTTTCACGAAGGCACCTGATTTTATGCGAGATGTTTTTTTCGAGAAATCTTGGTGAAACCCTTTCTTTTTGAGAAAAATTAGCTTACATATTTAAGGCAAAAATCGTATAGAAATTTGAATCCGCTCAACTTTCGAAAATTCGCTGGAAGAAGTAAAGTGAACTACAGCGTCATTTAATCAACATTCATATTTTGTTCTTAATTAAGACTTACACTCTGAATCTTGGTAAACGTTCGCTTCCAGGCTTGTGTTTTGTATAAATTTAGGATTGCAAAAGTTATGGCAGAACATATTTTAAATGTCGATAAGTTTTTAAGATTCAGAGAGATCTAAGGTTATAGTTTATAGACGAGATTTTAAGATCCCAAATACATTACTAACTATGAGGCCGTTGAGTGATGACGCAACATTCCAATAAAAAAGGAATCAGTTCTATCTGCAAAAGTTTAAGAAGTGCAGAAGATACTTCAACAGAAAAGGCTATTCCGACTTTCAGCAGCCATCTTGTACCTAATAACCGACATTCAAATTACTTTGCGTAGCATCCGCGCCTTATTAGCATTTTTTAATTGCTTTCTTATGATAACAGCTGAATCGATTGTCAGACAAATGAAAACCTCCAAATACTATATCTCGGCAAAAAATGGCGTTAGGTAGGTCGACCCAGCAAATACAACGCAACGCCGTTATCAGTTCATAAATGTTCAAAACTAGTTGGACTCTCCGAGATTAGTTTTAGGTCCAAGTTAGTCCAACAGTCCCATACAAACGTGCCTCCCCCATACCTAAGCACAAGACGCATCAGACACGCTAGCGCGGCACTGCAGCAGTCATAATAGGACACTAATCGAGAGCGGCATGCCTGCTGGTGAACCCAAAGAGCAGAAGCAGGGTCGCGTATCGAAAACATTCCATTCTAAGTTTTAAGGCCAAATCTATGGGGAAGCGTATAAATATGTAAACATCAAAAAATTGAGATATATCTTCCCCCACCCCTATAACCCCTAACCCCAATTTTTACCCCTACATTAAAATTGTTCTGACAAATGTCAAATTTTCCATTTCAATTTTTCTGCAACTTTTTAACAGTTAATATAGGATTGTGGCATACATTATTTGTATATATGCCACTGTAAGGGCTATCCGTTAAAGAATACAGTATTTCACATATTTGAAGAAAAAATGTAGAAACAAGAAAAAAGGTGAGAACAAGGTGAGCATAATTGGTTTTTTAGAGTATAATCATGGTAAGTCTTTCATGGGTACAAGAGCAGGTTTTACTAGTGTTAAGGGCAAACACGATTACTGTTATGGATACACCACAGCCGACGTCAACGTCAACGTAGTTGACGTCGGCTGTGGATACACTTTACCTGAAGCAAGATTGTAAAATTATTTACCAGAGCTTCCGTCATTGCAATATAAAGTAACAATAGTGGAAATTATGAAACATTCATAATTAATTAAAAGGACACATATCCTTTTCAAAGGTTTATTATATGAAAACTGCATATATTCAAAAAAGGAGGAAAAAGTTATCTCTATTAAACATAGTTCACATTTGCATAAAAATAAAATAAAATGAATACAGTAACGTAACAAGGATGTGTGTGTGAATATAAATAAATAAAATAAACGATTCTATTCAGAATCTGGAACATTTACGTCATCATATTTCAAACTATCATAAAAATATGTCTCGACATAACTACACTTATCGGTTCTCATAAAGTATACTTTACTACAAAATGATCATAAGAAGGCCATAAATCAGTGCGTAAGAACATTGTAACTGCAATCCCGCGGAATCTTACGAGCAGCATCATTGTAAGGAACCTTACGCTGCCAGGAGTAATATTTTACATGCAAGAATATTGTGAAGACATATGCCATATTTTAATGTAACCGATGAAGGACGATAGACACGTATGATCTCTACAGCGGCGGGATTGTATTATATGTTCACTAACAAACTATTCAAATCGCTACAAACTGAAGATCGCCAAAATGTCAGTTAAATGTTACGACTATAGATTCATGTATGAACCGTTCATTATTGTGAAAATCAGTACGTAATCGGGCCATTCCTACGAAATTCCAAAATTAGGTAGATATCAATTTATAAAAATGTATTTTAATTAATTTGTATTTTCACCCTGATACCTTTGTAGTACTCATGTTACTAGGTTTTATTATACAGGGTGTCCGCAAAGTTGGGGTTTTCCTTTACACGACGTGTAGATCTTGAAAACATAAGCAATTTTTCTTAGTACCATATACACCAATGTCTTAAGGGAACCGAGATAAAGGGCTCCGCAACATCAAAAATATCTGAATACCGTCCTGTAGCCGCGACCCGCGACATCACCGAGTGGTACAAGGTCACTGGCTCAACCCGACGACAGAACTGGGTCGGGGTCAGTGTGTCAGGTCAGTATGCAACCTTCAACCGACGGTTACGGTCACGCGTGTAGAGGTAATCGCGTAGACAAGAATCCCTCAACAAGCACGAGAGACGTGGCTAGAGAAGTGCAAGTATCAAAAACTAAAGTGTGGCAAACGCTGCGTGAAGAGGGGCTGTATCCGTTTCACGTCCAACGTGTACAAGCCCTTCAGCCTGACGATTTTCCAGCAAGAGCGCGGTTTTGTGAGTGGTTGTTGCATCAACATGACAATAATCCGGACTTTTTGAAGTGCATATTGGTGACAGAAGAATCTACGTTCACGCGTAATGGGGTGAATAACTTTCGCAACACTCATGTTTGGTCAGTAGAAAATCCGCACGCTTTCCGTCGGGCACATTTTCAACAAACATTTTCGGTGAATGTTTGGGCTGGCATGGTGAACGGTATGCTCATTGGACCATTTATTCTCCCAAATCGATTGGACGTGATGCAATACCTAGACTTTTTACGCAACATTTTGCCTTCCTTGTTAGAAGATGTGCCATTAAGTGTAAGACAATCAATGTGGCTTCTGCACGATGGTGCACCGTCCCATTTTAGACGCGAAGTGCGTGAGTTTTTGAATGAATTATTTCCGAATAGGTGGATCGGACGTAATGGACCCGTAGCGTGGCCTCCGCGATCACCAGACTTAACACCATGTGATTTTTTTCTTTGGGGAAAAATGAAACGCTTAGTGTACAAAAGTGAAGTGCATACGGTTGACGAACTTCGTCTCAGAATTGAACAAGCTGGTGCTTTCATTCGGGGGAGGGACTCCATTCTCAAAGCCTGCACCGATGCTTGGCTACGTCGTGCACGCACCTGTGTTTTTGAATCAAACGGCGATAACTTCGAACAATACCTATAAAGTACGTTTACCTAAAAACTGAAAACGCGGCAACGCCGTCATATTTGTTACCTCTGTTCGTGGGATTTCATTTTCTGTTGGAGCGGTATGATTTCGGGCAGAGACGTACTTAGCCCTTCTCGTCAACTGGAGAGTGAGTACTTTTTCCTTTATTTTTTTTTACTTGGTCGCCCTCGTTTCACTACACATTACCTTTGTTATTTCAAGGGTAGTTGTTTCTGAAAAGGAAAACCCCAACTTTGCGGACACCCTGTATGTGAACATTGTCGTCCCGAAAATAAGCGCATTCCTAGCAAGTGGCAAGAGTATTTTGAAAACTTGAAAATAAGCGAATAACGACTGATGGGAAGCGATGATCTTCATACGCAAAAAAGGTTGTTTATTTTTT